CAGAAAGCTTTTATCAAAATAAATGAACAGGATCACCAGCAGCACCTCTGGATGCTGGGCTGCTGTAAATCACAGCATCATTCAGGCTGGAAAAGACTTTTAAATCATCACGTCCCCAAGTGTCACACCCACACAGCTTTTAAACCCCTGCAGGGATGGCGACTCCAGCACTCCCTTGGGAAGCTTTTTCCAATGCCTAACCACCCTCTCCATGAAGAAATTTTCCCAAATAGCCAACCTGAACCCACCCTGAGATGGTTTCCCCTTGTCCTGTCCCTGTTCCCTGGAGCACAGCCCGACCCCCCGGCTGTCCCCTCCTGTCAGGAGCTGTGCAGAACCACAAGGGCCCCTGAGCCTCCTTTGCTCCAGGCTCAGCCCCTTCCCAGCTCCCTCTGCCTCCCCTCACCAGATTTTTACTCCAGATCCTGTCATTTCTTGGCTTTTTCTGACTTCAAAGCCTGTTTGCCATGCTCTGGATTTGGCCAGAGGGATGGAGGAGGTGGGAAGGCTGCTGGGCATTGCTGGAGAAGGAGAGGATGGATCCTGCTGCTGCAGATGGAAAAAGGGTGCTGGGACAGGAAGGCCACCACACCAAGGCTTGGGAAACATTAAGGATTCTCCACGCTTCTCTTTAAACAGCAAATGTTTTACTTTGCAAGTGCAAACAGATCTTGGTCATACAGCAACTCCCTGGATACTTCCCCAAGTGCTGTGGGTACAGGAATTCCCATGGACACAAGAGCAGCACATTCCCAGCCCAAATTTCCCCTCTAAAGTTCCTCTGGCAGCCAACACAGAGCCCTGGCAAGGGAGCAAAGGAAAAATCCTCTCTGCTCACCCCTGTCCTGGCTCTGGTGTCCCCTGGGCACAAACTGAGGGGCCCTTGCAGTGTTTCCCTCCCCTGCTTCTCCCCAGACATCCAAACCAGCTGGAATCAAGTCCCAGTGTGTGAATTTTGGTTCTTTATAGGAATCACCTGCATCCCTCATTCCACCTGTGCTGGGGCAGGAGGGGCTGAGCTCCAGGTGTCACCTGTGCCAGTGAGGTGTCACCTGTGCCAGTGAGGTGTCACCTGTGCCTGCTGAGCACCACTGCTGATCCCACAGGTGTGGGATGGAAATTCCCAGGGCTGGGCTCTGCTGCAGTATGCAGGGATTTGCAATCCAAGGGCTGTTTGTGTTTTCAGCCTGGGCAGTAAAACCCCGTGCAAAATGAAAATGGAGAGCATTGTTTTCCTTCCACTGAAGTCAAGATTTGTTTCTGCTTCTCTCCAAGAGGACCTGGACATGCTGCCTGACCTCCTCAAGGACAGAGTGGTCCCAAATCAGAATCTTGGAATCATTTAGGCTGGAAAAGCCCTTTGAGAGCACTGAGTCCAACCCTTCCCCCAGCACTGCCAAGGCCACCATTGATCCATGTCCCCAAGTGCCACATCCACACGGATTTAAAATCCACATGGATTTTAAACCCCTCCAGGGATGGGGACTCCACCTCACTCCTCACAGGACTTGTGCTCCAGAGCCTCAACCAGCTCTGGAAATGCAGAAAAAAAAAAAAGGAATGGGGATGAGAGTGTTGAGAAGAGGCAAATCCCCACAATCCCAGCCCAAAGCAGAGGGAAACTTCTTCCTGCAATGCCCAAACACAGCAGAAGCTTTTCACCATGGCACCCCTGACGTCTTCAGCTTCTTCTTAGTGCATGGCAAATCCAGGCTCACCTTTGCTGCAGTTGGGCTATGGATGGCAAAGACAAAGAAAAGCAAAAAGCAGCCCCTGGCAGGTGTGTCTCACCCTCAGGGAGGTGCCAGCCATGAGGTGAGAAGTGCCAGGGACTCAAGAGTGATGGGCAACAACTCAGTATTTGAGAGACAGGCAGGAGTAGCTGCTCTGCATCACTGTCTGTCCATTTCCCAACCCAGGACACTTTCAGACCTGCTTAAAATCTGCTACTGGAATTTTTCTGGGAGACCTTTCTAACCTGCACCAGCAACAGTAAAATGATTTTAAGACTGAGTTTGATCAACTGGCTGGGATTTCAGGGCTGTGGGAGACAGTGATGATGCCTCAGGTTTGAGCTTTTCTCCATCCAGCCCCTGTTCTGGGTCAGCCTTCTCAAAGCATCAGTGAGATCCCTCCCAGCCTGTTTGTATTTGTACAAGCATCCATCCATGCACCCATCCATAAAAACACCATCCAGCTGCTGAGCCTGCACTCTGCACACATTTCCAGCAGAAGAGGGACTCAGATGTGTGAGGAATAAATGATTCAGCTCCATCTTGTGCTCCTGCTCCTGGCATGCCAAGCAGCACTCCAGCTCGTCAGGATAAAAACCCAGACAGCTGCAATATCTGTGCAAAACTGGGACAATTCAGATTAAAAACTCATTTCCCTCTACATTTCCCTGAATATTCACCCCACTCCCAACAACTGAAAGAAGACAGGGACAGAGAGGATTTGCCACAATCTGTGTCCAGCTCCCTGAATGACAATTGATTGTGCTCAGCACAGATTATTTTCAATGATCACCCCAGAGAACCTTCAGGGAGGAAAGGGAAAATGGGGACAACTCCCAAAGAGGGCTGTGCAAACCCTTTGGATTGGGTTCCAGGGGAAGCAGGCTGCACCTAGCAGGGATTGATTGCCCTGGGTGTGCAATCACCTACTGAGGCATGAACACTGCTGCTTGCAGGAGCACAGCTCATCCAGGCACTCCGGGGTCACTCAGGCTCTGGGGACAACCACAGCCCCCCTGGGGCAGAGCATCCCAAGGAACAGCCACACCAAGAGGGGCTGGAATGGTGCAAGAGAATTCAGGAGCTGGCTGGTGGGTATTAATTAATACAGGGTTGATTTAGGTGGGATACTGGGAAGGAATTCCTGGCTGGGAGGGTGGGCAGGCCCTGGCACAGGGTGCCCAGAGCAGCTGTGGCTGCCCCTGGATCCCTGGGATGTCCAAGGCCAGGCTGGACAGGGCTGGGAGCAGCCTGGGATGGTGGAAAGTGTCCTTGTGAATAGCAGGGGGTGGCACTGGATGGGATTTAAGGTCCCTTCCAACCCAAACAGTCCATAATTCCCTCCTGTGAGCTGCAGGTATCATTACACTGCTCATCACAGAGAAAAGATCAGGCAAAAAGGGACACTCACCCCTTCAGCAAATCTGTCCCACTGCCAAGGGACCGTGCTCTCAAAAAACCACACCACCAGATACTTCTGCAAGAGGATCACCACTCCAATCCACAGTGGTTTGGTTCCTAATGCCCAGTCCCAGCCAGGATCAAGCTTGGAAATTGTGGGTATTGGTTTTGGTGGTTTGTGGGGTTTTTTTTTGTTGTTGTTTGGGGTGGGTTTTTTGTTTCTGGTTTTTTTTTGTTTTGTTTGGGGTTTTTTTTGTTGTTGTTGGTTTTTTGGGGTTTTTTTTTTGTTGTTTTGTTTTGTTTTTGTGTGTATGTGTAACAAAAAATTAAGGTAAATAAGCTTTTCCCCTTATTTTGCTGGATGGCATCTCAAGGAGCAATCTGCAATCTGAGCTCTGGTCCTGAAATCACTCCTTCGATCATTCCTTGACATCACATTTAACTCCAAAGTCTCTTCCCATCCCTAAAAAGCAAACTAACACCAGTGAACCCCAGCAGAAACACAGCTCTCTCAAGGCAGGGGAGGCTCCACTGCCCACAACCATCATTTGAAATAATGTTACAGCTCCACACCTGCCAGCTACATCAATGAAACAGCGCCTGGCTAAAGCTCTCCCCCGGGAAAAGGGATTTAAAAAGAAAAGCTAGAGCTCATCTTATTCCAACCCCACTGCCACAGGCAGACACCTCCCACCAGACCAGGCTGCTCCAAGCCCTTTCCAGCCTGGCCTGAGCAGCCAAGCTCTCCAGGTGGAATTCTCTGCGTTCCAAACTCTGCCTGTTGCTGCTCACCCGCCTGTTCCACATCCTGTGGAAGCTCCCACGTCACCTGTGCCCCCCTGGCCCTGGGCATCCCACACAGCTGGATGCTCCTGCTGGCTGCCAGCACCTCTGGGATCAGGGATTGCGCCCCATGGACAGGGACAAGGGCACTGCACTGCCCTGGCACATCTCCACAGGAGCTCTGTAAATCCAGAGAGGATTGCTCCTGCTCCCAGCCAAAGGGGACAGGAAAAGCCCCTTCCAAAGCACCACCAAACCTTCTCCCCGCAGCACAACGTGCTTGCCCCGCTTTTTGGGGCGCTGTGACAAGTGACACCCACTGACCCAGCTCGGGGTGCAGAGCTCAGCCCAGAGATCTGCATCCTGCACCGAGCATCCCGAAACATTCCTGGAAAGCGATCCAGCCCGGTCCCTCCCACCGGGAGGTCACACCCTCCCCAGCTCCCTGTCACAGGTCACCCCCACTTGCTCCAATCTGTGGGAATGGGGGCCAGTTATGGCGATGTTCATCCAAGGAATGACGCCCGTCCATCCCCTCGTGCCCTGTCCGCCCGTGTCCCGCTCGCTTCTGCCCCAGTTCCCTCGCTCACTGCTGCGGGGAGAGGATGGATGGAGCTGACGATGATGATGGCCACATGCCTCCCTCAAGCTCCAGGGCTCTCTCCTCCAGCACGGGGGCGAGTGCAGCTGATCAGTATTCAGGGACAGGCTCGCGGCTGCCCGCTGCCACCCCTCCTCCTCTTCCTCCTCCTCCTCCCGGTGCCTCCGAGTGCGGCAGGAGGTGGCACCCCGCGGCTCCCCGCTCCCACGGGGGATTTCACGCCTCCCTCCTCCTCCTTTTCCCCAAACCATCGCTCCCTGTTGCTTCCCCAGCCCTGCGGCGCAGATGTCCCCGACCCGCCCCCCCGGGGGGACCCTGCCAGCTCCTTCGGCCGCATTTGGGGACCCGCATGGTCCGCACGATGTCCCCGCGCCGAGGGGACAGCACGGAACGGGGGAGGATGGCACGGCTGAGGATGCTCCCACCCTCCCAGCTGGGGCAAGGTGGCTCGGCGGGGGCTGCTGGCAGAAGCCGGGGCTCACCTTGTGGAGCTTCCACATGGCCCCCAGCGCCTTGACCTCGTGGCTGGAGTGCTTGCCCTCCTCCAGGCACTGGTAGCAGACGGGGCTCTTGCACTGCACGCAGTACATGCTGTGGTTCTCCAGCTCGTGGTCGGTGCAGGTGGAGATCTTGCGGGGGCTGAGCCGGCGGCTGACGCGGCCCTGGGCCGGCGGCACCAGGCGGTGCTTGGCCAGCGGTCCCCGCGGCGGGTGGCACCGCAGGCGGCACGGGTCGCAGTAGAACACGTCGCACTGCTCGCACATCACGGCCGCCTCCTTGGGCGCCTTCTCGCAGAGCTGGCACCGCAGGGCCGCCGCCCTGCCCTGCTGGTAGCGGTCGATGACGCCCTCGAGCAGGCGGTTGCGGGGGAAGCCCCGCAGCCCGCGCTCGTCCAGCACCAGGCTGCGGTGGCACTGCGGGCAGGTCAGGCACGCGTTGCGCGGCGGCGGCGGCGGCGCCAGCGCGGCGGGAGGAGGCGGCGCGGCCGGCGGGAACACGCGAACCCCGTTCGGGGACTTCTGGCACGGCGTGGTGGGAGCGCTGGCGAAGCCCCCGTAGGAGCCGTAGCCGCTGTCCGCCTCGCTGTACAGGCTCATCTTGTCCAGGTCCAGGTAGTCATAGTCGGAGACGGCCGAGCCCGAGGCGCGGCGGCTCTGCGGAGACTCCGAGTCTGGCGTCTGCACCAGGATGTTGCGGGCGCACGCCTGGCACAGGTTGTGCGAGCAGGGCAGGATGATGGGCTCCCGGTAAAAGGAGCCGCACACCGGGCATTTCAGCTCCTCTTCCATCTCTTCCATAGGGGAGGGAAGGAGGAGGGCGGCGGCGCGGCTCCGGCGGCCGCGGCAGGAGCCCGAGGAGCGACCCGCACCGCACCGCGCCTCGGCGCCGACTGCCGCTCGCCCGCCGCCCGCCGCCGCGCGCGCCGCCGGGCCCCGCCCCCTCACCCTGCCATTGGCCCGTCCGCCGGCGCGGGGGTGCGCTGCGAGTCGCGATTGGCTGATCCGCCTGTCCGTCATGCAGCCCGCTCCGCGGCGCCGCTGAGGGGGCTGCGCTCGGGGCTGCGGCGCCGCTGCGGGGTCGGTGCGGGAGAGCGGCGGTCCCGGGCCTGCCGCTCCTCTGCCCGCTCCTCTGCCCCTCCCCGGCTCCGGCACTACAGCCCCGCTGTGCCCGCAGCATCCCCTCCCCGGGAGGTTTCCCCCCTGACCGCAGCAGGTGTCTCTGGCAGCGCACGGGACCCGCTGCCGGATGCGGCCGTGAGGGTGTAGCTGTCATTAGCGGAGCGGCCGCCCGTGTGGGTAATGGCTCGGCTCTCCGGGCTGGCAGCGGAGCGGTGGTGCCCGGTGGTCCCCGAGGCTGGGACGCCCCCGTGGGGACACGCTCCGCCACTGGAGAGCGGGGCCGGGGCCCCGAGGGGCTGCCGCGGCTTTGCCTCCCCGCCCCGCTCGCTCGCAAGGTCGGCCGAGGGCTGAAACTCTCCCCGCAACAGGGCGGCACGGCGGGTCCCGCTCAGCCAATGCAAAAATAGCATCGCTCGGAATGTCTCCGTGCTTTCTCCCATTTCCCCCTCTCTGTGCGCAGGTTTGGGGCTGCATTTGTTGGTGCAGGTGCTCTGTGCCCCCCCTGTGATGGCTTTGGGCTGTGTCCAGCTCTGGGACCCGATGTCAGAAGGACCTGGAGCTGCTGGAGCGAGTCCAGAGGAGGCCATGGAGATGCTCCAAGGGCTGGAGCCAGGCTGGGAAAGCTGGGAATGTTCCCCTGGAGAAGGGAAGGCTCCAGGGAGAGCTCAGAGCCCCTGGCAGGGCCTGAAGGGGCTCCAGGAGAGCTGCAGAGGGACTGGGGACAAGGCATGGAGGGACAGGAGCCAGGGAATGGCTCCCACTGCCAGAGGGCAGGGATGGGTGGGACATTGGGAACTGGGAATTGCTGGCTGGAATGGAATTCCAGAGCAGCTGTGGCTGCCCCTGGATCCCTGGAAGTGTCCAAGGCCAGGCTGGATGGGGTTTGGAGCCACCTGGGAATGTGGAAGGTGTCCCTGCCCATAGCACACATTTCCATGGTGGGGGATGGCAAAAATACTGGGGGCACCCAGGGCTGTGAGTCCCCTGCTTGTCAGGACACACTGAGGGGCTCCTTCCCCTCCCCAGTGGGTCCGTGCAGGTGCTGGGATTCAGGGAGCAGCTGCTATTCCAGGCTCCCACACTGATACTCAGGCAGGGGGGAGCCCAAAATCCCAAATGCCCAAGGAAGGCTCCACCATTTCTCAGCCTGACAAGGAAGGACAGGTGATAAGGAGAAAAGGATTTCCTGAGAGCTTCTCTTTTCCACTCCAGTGTGCTTTGTTCTTCCCTTTCTGCTTCCTCAGGCTCCTGCTGGCTCTGCATTGACCGTGGCTTCCCCTGGACTCTGCTGAACATTCCTCATTTGCTCCCTGTTGGTGTCTCTGCTCAGAGCTGCTCATTTTTTTCCTCCGGTCTCCCTTCTCGAGCTGCCCTTTTTCCAAAATAAAACCATCATTCCTTGTTTGCCTCTTGTTTCCCGTGGCCATTTTTCACCCTGGCAGGTCTGGGATTGCCGTTGCTGCTGGAGTGCTCCTGCTGATGATGGAAATGGGCAGGGAGAGGAGCACAGCCAGTGCCTTTGGAAGCAAACCCTCGATCATAAACATTGAGCTGTTTTCTTCTTGGCACTGCAGCCTGAGCCCTCAGCAGCCAGTGCTGTGCTTTATTTGTGGCTGTCACACTTGTCACTGCCCCGAGAGCTGCACAGCTCTGGACCTGCAGTAATTTCTTGACCCAGCTTCAGCATTCATTTGTCTGATGTGGCTGTGATCATTAAAGGGTGGGGAAATTGTTCTCAGCTGGCTCCTGCTTTTCCCGTGTGGCTCTCACCTTCACACAGAGCCGTGGAATCAGTGAGGTTGGAAAAGATCTTGGGGATCATCGAGTCCAGCCTTGATCCCCACCTTGTCCCCAGCCCAGAGCACTCAGTGCCACCTCCAGTCATTCCTTGGACACCTCCAGGGATGGGGACTCCAAACCACCCCAGGAGTCCCTTGTAATGCTTGATCACCCTTTCCATGATGGAAATTTCCCTGGATTTTCTGCTCCAGAAGCAGCTCTACGTCCTGCATCTCCTGTTGTAACCAGCCTCTGTCCTGGAGAGTGTGGAAGCCACTGCTGGGCTGAGATAAATTAAAGTCATTTAGACTCTATAAGTGCTGTTGGATCCTCTTGGTGAACGGTAATAAATATCTGAGCTGGGCAAGAGCTCATAAATAAAAGAGAGAAATGAACCAAGACAACGACTCGGCAGTCTCCTTATCCATCCCACACCTAGAACACCTTGAGGACACAAATCAGAGAGTGGACAAGGGCTCAGAGCTCCTCAGAGGAGAGGCTTGGGAGCACCAGAACCTTTCCAGAGAGGCCTCAGGGGTCTGATGCAGGCAGATCTTCCACTGCCACGTGGGAAACCTGCTTCAGGCTCTGGGAATTTGTTTCCTCTTGTGCCTGGAGGTCCCACACGTGGAGCCTTGTCCCTACAGAGGATCTCTGCTGTTCCTGGAACGCTCTCCCTGTGCCCCGGGGAACATCTCAGCAGATGCAGCCAGAGCTTGGATTTGCCTTTTTATGACTCCAAGACATTGGCAGCTCATAATTCATCCTGTCACCAACCAACCCACCCTGCTCCTCCTCCTCCTCCATCATTTTGGGTGGATGAGCTCTTGGCTGACAGGAGCAATCCTGGTTTGTGAGTCCCTGTGTGCACGACCTTGAAATCAGCATCCCTGAGCTCATCCTGCTCGCTCAGGTCACCAGAGCTTCCAGCACATGCTGATTTCCCTGTCCTGGGGACAGCTCCTGGCAGCAGGACAGGTGCTGAGGTCACTCTCCTCTCTGGTGCCAAGAGCATGGTCAGGAATGCTGGCACCGTGCCTGGAAAGGCTCCAGGGCTCCCAGAGTTCTGCCTCCCTCCAGAGCTCCTTCCTGGTGACATCATTTGCTCCAAGCAGCGTTGCAGGAGCTCAGAAAGTTGGAGACCCTTCCCATTTGTTCCTGAGGTCTCCTCTTTGCAGGGAAAAGTGCCAGGTTTTTGTGGATGATCGTCTCCATTGAATGCAGGTGCCACCTTTGCCCAATGTCAGCGTCACAAACATGAAGGATCCAGGAAATGCTTTGTGCCTGTGGCCAGACCTCCCAGTTTTTGAGCATTTTGAACATTTTGATGCTCTCCAGAATCTTCCCTTTACCCAGGACAGGTTCCTTCCCACCACTCTGAGCTGCTGCAGGCTGAAGGCAGTGCCAGCTCTGCTGCCTCACTGCTGGCACGGAGCTGCAGCTCCCTGGGAGACTGCTGAGGTTTCCTGGGGTTAGATGGATTGTGGAAGTTAAAGGAAAGCTTCCCAATGGCAAAACACTCGGGATTTTTCCTCTTGTGTAGGAGGCAGACAAAGAGGCTCAGCACAAGGAGGATGTGGAGCTGCTGGAGGGAGTCCAGAGGAGCCACAGAGCTGCTCCAAGGGCTGGAGCTATCTTTAAGGTCCCTTCCATCCCAAACCATTCCATGATTCAGGGATTTCTCTGCTTCCCTCTCTCTCTCTTCCCAAACACTCAGGGCTTGTTTGGCTGATGAGCAACACCAGCAGAGTTGTTCATCACCACCCACACGGAGTGGGTGTGAAACAACCCCTGGTTCATGGCTGCTCCAACCCTTCCCAAGAAGCTGTGGAGGTGTCCAAGGCTGCTCCTTGCTCTGGCACAGGATCCTGAGAAACCCTAATGGCAACAGTAATTGTGTAACTGATTGAAATATTTAATGGTTTTATCCTCTGTCAGACTTTAATTAGAATTGCTGAGCATGATGCCTCAGGTTTAGCTTTTCTATTTTTCAGATTCTGTGCTGCTTTAGCTCACACTTTGCTTATTAAATCCAGCACTTAATTGGTAGCACAGGGTATAAACCCCCAGGTGCCAGAGGATGCTGTTCTTCCCTGAGGAGTTCCAGCTATGACCATGGGCATTGGCAGGGAGAATGCTGCCCAAAAACATCTCTGGAAATCACTTCTGAAAATAAGGTGGCAAAATTGCTCCATCAAGTATGAGCCAGGCTGGCGAGGCGCCAGGCTCTGGGCATGTCTGACTGGAAGAGAAGCTAAAGCTCAAATGATGTCTCAGAGTGAGATGAAAAAAAAAATCTGTACATCTCAATGTGCTGCTTACTTTCAAGGGTGATATCATTTATTTTTAAGTCATTATTTTTTCTTACTTCCAGGAGCTGGTGGAAAATTTCTGATTTTTATCAAAACAGAGCAGAATCCATTTCTAATACAGTGGAAGAGCAGAGCTACCAGCCTGAATTGTGATGCTCCTTTGACCAGCCTGCCCACTTACTCATCCCCTCTGGGATTAATGCCCCACTTCTCCAGCTTGTGACTCATTTTGGAGAACAGCAACATTAAATTCATCCCACCAGAAAAATCTGTCCTTCCTCCCACAGCCAGTTTGTCTCCACCCTCCTCTCCCTGCTGCCCAAAGACTCAGCTGGAACACTTGGTGGTTCAGATGTGCTGAAGGTGGGACATTCCCTCTGTCTTCAGCATTGGAAAAGAAGCTTTGTCCAAAATTTGTTGACTTCACAAACAACTCAAGGCTTTTTGACCTGCTCTGGAATTGTCCAAGGTCAGGTTGGATGGAGTTTGGAGCAGCCTGGGATAGTGGGAGGTGTCCTTGCCATGGCAAGGGGTGGAATGAGATGGGCTTAAAAGTCCTTCCAACCCAAACCACTCTGGGATTCTCTGATATTCCCATTTTCAGACAATTTCTGTGAGCAGAAAGTTGCTCATTCAAAATGATCTCCTAACCTCTGCAGTACAGGCATCTCTTAAAATAA